TTGTATTGTATCGTATTGTTACGTTAAATACAATGTTTGTTTTGATTGTTACTTAAATTTTATTGTATCGTATCGTTAAATCTGTCGTTACGAAACAACAAAAAGTGTCACTTTATGGAACGACCGATTTGGTGTGGTCGCGTCGTAACCTTATTTTTTCTTTCATCTTGACCTTCTTTATTATTAAATAATAATCATTTTTATCATTTACCCTACCTTTTTATATAATAATTATACCTCATATCATACATTTTCTTTGTAATATTGCAAGTTTATTCTTCATATTGTTGGTGCATGACATCATGAAACGACAACAAACAATACAATCTATCAAATATTGTATACATCAAAATGATACAGTACAATACAATACAATATTGTACGATACATTATGAAACGATACATAACAACCATCCAAACAACCTGTGTAAATGAGAGAACGAACTTGTCTGTTTCCAGGCTTTCTGTTGGTAGAGAGTTTTCTGTTCCTATGGAGTATCATGGAAGTGAAAATTTCTCTTAAAGAAGTTACTATCCATTCAGAAAACATTTATCTGTTTACCACAAGTTCCTCTCGAGGCCCTTTGTCCTCCCCACTCTCTCTCTCTCTCTCTCACTCACATCAGGCTCAGAGATCGTTGAGCATAAGTTCATTATGCGAGGGTCAATTGAACATTTTGATGTGGATATTGATGCTACATTTTATGCCATTATCTGTTCTTGTACATATGCAAACATTAGTAGGCTTACTCTATGATTCCAGTGTGCAGCTGATTCAGGATTTATTTTGCTTTCAGGGATATTAAGCCTGATAACCTTATACTGGACAGAAATGGACATCTAAAGCTTTCTGATTTCGGTTTATGTAAACCACTGGAAAACAAATACTCATCACTGTTGGAAGATGAAGATCTGACAACTCAGGAGTCCATAAGTGTGACTGCCGTTAGTGATAGTGCTCCGTGGTTAATGCAAAAAGACCAATTACAACAATGGAAACGCAATCGTCGTGCCTTGGTATCCTCATTTTAGTACTACATTTTTCCATTATTGTGTCTGCATATGAATTACCTGTACTGAAAATGCTTCTATTTGGTTTCTTCGTTGATTGATTTAGCCATAATAATCGTTGAATATAATCAACTATAAGTGAAACTCTTTTGTAGGCATATTCTACTGTGGGAACTCTCGATTATATGGCACCCGAGGTTTTGTTGAAAAAAGGATATGGAATGGAATGCGATTGGTGGTCATTGGGGGCAATCTTGTATGAGATGCTTGTAGGTTATCCTCCCTTCTGTTCAGAAGATCCAAGAATGACATGTCGCAAGGTACTTCAATATTCTTTTATATTTTATGGTGAAAATAAGATAACTCCTTTCACACAGGGACTCTAGAATGATCGACAACTTTGGTCAAGACAACTTTTGTAAACGAAAATTCTCAAAAAGGTCATGGTTCAGAAATGATTGATTTCTCAATTCTTTGGACATTTTTTAAATAAGAATTCTTTGAACCTATGTTGGTCGGACTCTCTGAAAATATTGCCGGGTGTGTGTCTGATCCTCCAAAAGTAGTGCATTTTTGGAGGATCCGACACGGGTGCGGCAGCATTTTGGAGAGTCCGCAACAACATAGCTTTGAACATCTTTTTGGACAAGAGGAATGAGTTTCAAATTTGTGTCAGACATCCTATTAGCTTTTACAAGTATCCATCATCTTTGTTTGATGTGTCAAATTTCTTTTTATGTATCAGATTATCAATTGGAGAGCATGCTTGAAATTCCCGGATGAACCAAAAGTACCAGATGAGGCTAAGGATCTGATCTGTCGTTTATTGTGTGATGTTGAATCAAGATTGGGGACCAGAGGAGTGGAAGAAATAAAGGTAAATGCCACTAAAGGAATGGATTAGGTCCAATTGACTGTGCAGACACTCTTCAAACAAATAAAAACGAAATATGCTTCTTGCTCTCTTTGAATTATATTTTGCTTTTTCACTAATGGAATACATTTTCCCTCCTCTATCATTGATGAGATTAGATCGTCTTGTCAAAGATTTGGTACAAATTAGCATGCTCAGTGGTCATGCTGCCTCCATGCATGTGGTTTTCTTCTTCTTACCTTGCGAATACGTTTTCAGGCTCATCCTTGGTTCACAGGAACTAAGTGGGATGCGCTTTACGAAATGGAAGCTGCCTACAAGCCCATTGTTACTGGAGAACTAGACACTCAGAATTTCGAGAAGTTTCCTGAAGTGAGTATTTCTGCTTATAGATCACTTATTGCATTAATTTGACTTTCTAGAGAGGATTTAGTAGTTGTAAATTAACGCTCATGACAATGATGAGGTCAGTTAGAAGTCATCCTTTTACCTCATGATCCATGAGCCATATATGAGTGTGACATTTTTCTCATATATATGTATATCAACTTTGTTACATTTCTCTTCTCTCCGCGTAGCCCAACAATGAAGAAGATATGCTCCGCCTTTTCTTTAGCTTAGTAACTTCGATATGCAATTCAACTAATTCACCCATCACTTGTGCACTTACTTGCACGGTTGAATCTTTGGTATTTCCGAGTACTATCAACAGATATCTCCCTTTCAGCTTCTTATGAAGTCATTCTTTTGCTTTTCACTTCCATTAGTCGGTTGTGCTCAAAATTGACCAATGTAAATTCTCAAATTCCGGAGATCTCAGAATTTCAGTGTCTTTCTTAAAGTGATATGCTCCTTTTATTTCAAAGCAGGTTTATATGAGATTTTCCTTAAACAACATTCTTTTCCCTTTACATATGCTCACTTTTCACTTATAGGTAGAAGATGCACAATCAACAGCACCAAGAGTGGGACCCTGGCGAAAGGTAATGATTACTTTTCACAATGCATTACTTCACTCAATGCCCTCAAAAAAGTAAAAAATAAAAACTATAGAAAACAAAATTCTATGCTAGAATTTAAGCATGAGCATAATACTGATTATCCTAATATTTTGGAAGTTTATGCTTGTCCTGGTGAGACCATATCAGTAACCTGTTGCAGAGATTCTTGAGAAGGGGTTTGTAACTTGTGCATGTTTCTTATTTAAGACTTTTAGAGTTAGTATTTTCCTTATCTAAAGACTTTGATTCCTTAATTTAACTAGTATATACTGGACAATCTTCTATTTAGTTTCATTATTTAGTCATACCAAGAAACAATTCCTAACTTGTTGATTCCAACATGCAGATGTTAACATCAAAAGATGCCAATTTCATTGGATACACTTTCAAGAAATCAGACATCCTTAAATCAGCTGAAACTTCAGGTGCCCCACTTTCAGAACATCGCTGCCTAGAATTAAATTCCTCAATTTTTAGCTGTGACATATTAGTTAGAACATATCAGGTTCCTTATGAAACTACTTTATTTGTGAAAGGCAACAAGGTAACTACTTAAATAACAAACATGAAATATGTTATGTTATCAGCATCAGATTATCTCAAAGTAGTCAAACTGTTCCCATGCTTAGCCGTCTACATCAGTGACGTCATTTTAACTATACTGTCTTTTGTTGCAATTACTGTCTCTATACTATTTATCTACCTCTAATTCAAAGGAACATCTTCATCGTGCAGGGATAGACACGAGTTCAAATGGATCGAAGCCTCCTCCATCTTTAGTTTCATTATTTGGTACGGTAACTTTACATGATTTAACATATACTTTTTGCAGTTTGAACTATGAGATGATTGCTGCTGAACCTAAGTTTCTACCGTATCATATGATCTTGAACTAGATAGTTTGGATTTAAAAACAAACAAGAGGTTAAGGACTATATGAGGAATATCTCTGATGAACAGGTAGAAGAGCACTGTATGTATCTAGTTTGCTGCTCAATGAGTTCTATAAATGGGGATCACCATGTCTAGTTAACGTTCTTTTGCATAGAGTCCTTCAGTAACTTTTGCTAAACATCTAAAATAGATTAGATTTTCATGACAAAATGGTATGGTAGTTTGATTTAATCTCCGAGGCACCCCTTTGAACTGCTATTAGTCTTGATTTTTACAAATGCTACATGAAGCTTTTTGACTTGGTTAAGTGATGTTTATATCACCACTGCACACTTCATAAGGGTGACAATATTTTGGCGGATGGAAGATGATGCTACCGCTCCTGCAGATTTATCCCAAAAAGTCCTCTGAATGATGCCCCCCCCCCCAAAACCAATTGTTCTAAATATTCTCTTTTACTCCTATTTCTATATAAGTTGCTCAGCCTCCTATGACATCCATAAAAAGATTACATGTTATCTTGGAGTTCTATTTAACAGCTGAAAGCTGATGAGCTTTCATGTTCTGTTTTCGTGACAGGCCATGTAGACTTACAAGACGCAACAAAGGAGGACGACCAAAAGAGGAACAGCTGACTTTGGGTCCCCTTGGCATGTCCTTTCTACTGAGGAGATTAAGCACAGATTGCATGTGTATAAAAAAGGGAATAAACAGTCAGTATTAATTTTCACACAATTTTTGCGTTTCCTTTTGCACTTTCTGGCCTTCACCATGTAATGGTAAATGTACAGGCAAACATATACATGGCTCAATTCAATCAAAAAACATTTTGGGGAAATATCAGTTTTGTTTAAAATACTATGGTTAATGTGATGTTGGATTCCTGAATCTACTAACTTTTTGGAAGACTAGTTGTGAAATGTTGAATACCTAGAGATGGTTCTAGGTACATGGAAAATTAGACTGTATTTAGATTCTGCAATTCAGATGTGATAAAATTTGTCTGTAAGCATCAGTGATCGATACCTGAACTAATTAAAATCGCCATTGGAATTTTTGTGTGGTAATATAAGTTACTGAGGTCCCAAAGTTAGATCAAACTCACTGTAGAGACACCATCCCTATTATTAACATGCGCAATGTCAATCATATAATGGCCATTCAGTGAAGCAGAGCAACCTTATATAATAACTTATATATTATATATTCATTTCTGGATGTATAATAATTGCAGGACCTGTAATAGAGATTATGGTCAATTGGGAAAATATTAGGCATAGCATATGGTTTCAACACAAAGATTAAAAGCCAGGGGATCTTAGGATGATTTTTCAAATCACAGAATTAGGTAGAGTGTAATTACATCAAATTACGAAGGTATTACTATCCCTGAGAAATGGACAACATAACTGCACATTTGAACCCATATCTTCAGGAGGCCAAACTTTTGAATTGCTGCTAGCTTTTTGCAGAACTAGCTGGAGTACACATTTGAAGCCGCCAACAACTTTAATAGGCAAAGGCTCATTGAGATAGCCAAACCTATGACAAACTTATTGCCCTCTATAATCTGCGATCCAGAAAGTGAGAATTAATTCAGTACTGTACATAAAACACCTCAGCATATGCAATAAATATTCTACAAGTATTTACCCTTCTCAAACCAAGAAAAATGGAGCAGCGATAGTAAACAATGACAAGATGTTGTGAAACAGCAGAGATCATCATCTTGCCTTGGCCTGTGCTTTCTTTCTGCCCAGAAACATAAAGATGCGCGGGAAGAAGGACTTCTTCTTTTTCTTTGGGATCCTCACTTCTGGAGATGAATCAGTTTCAGTGTTGGTTGTTTGAACATATTCTTTTGGACTTGAGCTTTGATGAAGTACTGCATCCTCTTGTGCATGTTCAGAAGTTTTTGATTCTTTACTCTCCCCAACACTCATTCTTGGGTTCCTTGTTTTGTTTACTGGTAGAACAGATACACCAGCTTTCCGTCTTTGCTCATGCTCCGCTCTCCATTTCCTCAGCTCTTGCTCTGCTGCCAATTTTCCTTCCTTGGCTTTCTCGGCCTTCTGCTGTGCGATTTCCAGTGCTTCCTTTCTTTCAGTCATCTCACAATTAACCTCCTCGAGCCTGTTTAGACTACTCAACTCTGATTCCTTGGCTACTTCTATTTGGGAGATAGCAGCAGTCACCCTCATGTTAGCTTGTTCCTCTGCCTCGTGGGCCTGCTTGCTGAGTTCATAATACTCTTTCAGAGAAAGTGTTACTTCATCGTTGGTGCTTCGGGTTGAGTCATTCTCTTGTAGAGCAGTGATAGCTGCTAGTGCCAACTTCTCTGAAGCTTTTGCAGCCTCTATCTCTTTTTTAGCTGCAAGCAGTCTACTTTCCATGGTACTAGCTGCTGCCTTTGCTTGCTCTGCCTCTTCCTTCGCCTTCCTCAGCTCTTCACGAGCCATTTGAGCAAGTGACTTTGCGCGATCGGCCTCTTCTGCTGCCTCTTGCAGTTGATTGGGCAGCTCCACCATCTTTTCTCTTGCTTCTTTTTCCTTCGTCCGCAAAAGGGTAATCTCTGACTTTGTCCTGTTCAACTCAGCTTCAAGAGATGCAACAACAATTGCTGCCATTCCTTCTCTCTGTTGTACGGCAGCTAGTTCTGATTTTTCCTTTTCCAATTCAGACTTCAAGGAAGCTGCTGCTAGTTTCAGGCATTCTATTTCAGCTGTTGCTTTCTCAATGTTGAGCTTCACTTCTTCAAGTTCTCTCTTAGCCGATGCCACTGCTAATTGTATCTCATAATGAGTTCTTTTCTCGGGCTCTAACAGCTCTACTTTCAAGCTCCCTTCTTCATCAGCCTCCTCTTTCAACTTTGATTCCATATAAGCTGCCAACTCAGCATTGAGATCTTGTAGCAAAGCTGAAGCAGTATCTAATTTTGCTTTAAGATCCTTTGCAGACAAAATTTGTTGGTTTAACCTCTCAAGCTCCTCTTCTGCCTGCTTCAGTTCTTTCTCCCAGTTTAATGTATTTTGCTCTCTCGCCATAGCTGCTCCAATTCTGTGTTCCTCTGCCTCCAGATGTCCAGCGTGTGCAGCCTCCAAAGATTCCTTCGTGTTGATGAGCTCAATAGTCAAATCCTCCACTGTCTTGTCAACTTCTTTTGATGCCGAAACAGCTTCTTCTGCTTTTTTGACGGCAACATCTTTTTCAGACACCAATAAAGCATAATCTTTACGGAGAACTTCTAATTCAGAATTCACATTTGTAAGCTCAGAAACTGCAGCTTCATGCCTGGCTCTGGCAACTTCAAGCTGTGCTTTGGCAGCAATACTAGTGTCATCAGCTATCCCACGCTCCAACTCTTCTACCCTGAGCTTGGCAAGTTCTGAATCCTGTTTTGCTTGTTGCTCTTCTGTATGTGCTCTCTCTAGGTTTAGCTTTAACTCTTCTATGAGTCTCTTAGTGCTCTCTAGTTCTTTCAAAATAAGCAGTTTTGTATCTTCTGCATCCTGCGCCTGTTTCTTATACAACGGGATCTCCTCCTGTACTTTTGCTAGCTCTTGCTCAACAAGATTCCGTCTCTGCACAAACAAAGAACAAAAAAGCAAACTTTAAAAGTCAGGAGTAAAATAACACAAAACTGGGAGAATCCTAGAGAAATTACAACCACTTAACACCTGAGGAAGTAGTGTAATAGATGTCCACCAAGTTGCATGTAAACATAAAGTAGATACAAGTGCATATATAGGGGCGGAGGCACAAGCCGACCTATGGGTTCGGCCGAACTCAATTGCTTTTGCTCCAACAGTGTGTTTGGTGATTTGAATTTATGAAATATGTAAAATATTAAATCTAGAACCCAGTCATTAACACTCGAAGTCGTGGTCCCAAAATCCAGAACCCATAAGGTTGAAATCCTGACTCCGCCTCTGTGCATATATAAGCTAAGGAGACACTACTTGTGTCACACAGTCACGTGGACTTACCAGAAAGAATGATACGTCAAACAGAATCATAATATAAAATTGTCTAGAAGACACCCATCTAATGCACGCAATTTGGCTATCTAAATCAAGAATCAAATAGTGTAATCTAAAGGGTTGGAGAGATTACCTCCAATGTCTGTTGCCGATGAGCCTTCCAGTCGACAATCCCTCCAAACTTTGAAACTGCCTGTTTCACAGATTCGATTGGTGCTGCTGTGTCGATTTGAACCTTGTTTATGTCAAAGTTTTCAGGATGCTTAGAATGGGCAGTGGGTCCCGGGATCTTAATTTTGAGAGGGGGGGCCTTGGCTAGGGGCTGACCGATGTTATCCGATGGCTGTACATGATTGTTATTTCCAGGTTTTGTCACTTGGAGAGGAGAACTAGAAGGGGAATCAACAGCATTTTGGGTACTACTAGGAGAATTATCTTGAAAATGAAGCAGTGAAGTGTTACTTGCTTCTGCTCCTGAATGGTTAGATTGAATATGTTCAGAAGTTTCTTTTATTTTTTCCTCATTTATGGCCAATGTATTTGATTTCCTAGTTAACAATAATGAAGCATCTCTCTCATCATTTGGTTCATCAAAAGTATTGTTTAGTTGATTGTGAACACTACCATTAGAACCAGTTGGTTCATCAGATTTAATAGAAGAGGCTGAAACTAAAGTTTGAGTCTCACTCTTTTCTGAAGACAAGCTGTGAGAAGCCTCTTCTACATGCTCAGAAGCATCCGCAGCTAGCTCCCGAGTCTCGGATTTTGCATTTTCATTCGCATGTTGGCTAGTTTGAGTTGCAATATGTGATTGATCCTCGTTCGGAGAGGAAACTTCAGGTTTAAGAGAGGATTCTGGAGCATTTTGCTTGACATCTTTCGCGTCTTCCATTTCCGAATAAACAAGTGGAGACCTTGAAATTAACAAATCAATCATAGAAAAAGTTAGGAGATATGTAACCTCTCTAACAAACACCAGGTGAACTATAGAACTTGAAAATAGAAAAGACACTATCAATCAAGCTGATCAAGCTCCCTACAACAACTACATATATGCCAGAAGTAACCAATGTGTTAGTAAACTGTGTTCAAGATCAGAAAATTAGAGAAGCCAAGAAATATTAGTTCAATAAACAAAACAGAAAAATAATTCCAAGTCCACAAGTTGCTTGTATATCCTTAAGAAATTTAATCCTCTCACTGTTGTCCAAGGTTTTGGATTAATTCCTCTCAGGATAGAACGGGATAACTATTATGTGATAGCGGCACTACAAATCACATAACTTCAGAAACTAAACAAACCGAGCAAATCACACTTGACACTTATGTTTATTTGGAAAAATAATAGAGAAGAGGGGAAATTTTTTCACATTTACCATTCACCCTTTAAGAAAAAACCCAACAAAATGATCATTGGATTGAACCAGAAACGAGCAAGCTCATAAAATCAAACCATACTTAAAACAAGATTTGCCAATTCTCAAAGAGCTCGCTGTTTATTAGCATAAAACTTGCACTTTTATGAGATTAATCGCAAACTTTCACAGGATAAGTTACAAGTTTCATATCACCAGGCAAACTATAGAACCATAAAACGGGGACCTCAGATACGTCAATTAGTTTTATGCCCACAAAATGAATTTACCAAATTCTGAATTTTACACCCCCGCCAAACCCCACCCCATAAAAAGAAGAAAGAACCAACTTGGAATTCTTGAACAAATCCAAGCTAATCCACATGTTGATAATATGCAGCTGGAATCAAACCTCCAAAGCTTAAACATAATCATGTTTTGATTACGAATCAATAAAGATTACATATTTCAATATAATTAACATGAAAAAATGTTGGAAAAACGAACAGAAAGAAGAAAATAAAAAAGAAGAACATACCAGAATCTTTCTTTGTGTGTGGATATATTCTCCAAAAAGGGAAATAATAAGTATTCCTATTAAATATATGGTCCAAAATCCACTGCAAACAAAAAGAAAAGACAATTTTGATCAAAAGATGTCCATAAAAGGAAAAAGGAGCATTAATGATGAGAGGATGGTGCAACACGGGGGTGGAGCCTACCTATGTAAAATACAAAATTTGAGATAAATTTGTATAAATGAATCAAAAAGATTATGTGGGTTGAAAATAGAAATATGAAAAAGAAGAAGAAAAAGCGAGTTTATCAGCTCGCCTTTGTCTTCCCCCTTTCTCTCTTTTGTCTGTTTTTTCAGTTTTCACCCTCTCTTTCTATCTCTATATGTTCTTCAATATAAATAAACAATAACTAAAACAACCGTAGTTTGATTATAGTCCCTGTTTCAAAGTTGTTTGATAAAAACGACTTCGACTGGTCCGACCGTGGTAAACCGTTGATGACAGTTATAAGTACGAGGCTGAATTACAATTGATTCCCCAGATGTAGGCAACTTGGAATTTTTTAATTGAAAACATATGGCATTTTCTATGACCGAAATGAACTCCAATTTTGACTATCGAGGGTATGGTGGGAAAAAAATGAGTGGTCAAGAGGTCATAATTCGATCTGTGTAATACGACTATTTTGACTGACAATAATTTTATGGTTATTGCTAGTATCTAACCATTTAATATGAGATTATCGGACTTAATGAGTTACCTAATCAATATAAAAAGTGGCATTTTTTTTTAAACAGATTAAAAAGACAAATAAAACACATAAATTGAGATATAGAGGATATCAGTTTTCCATAACTTCGAGACAACATTATTCTAGATTGTTGGTTTATTATTATTATTATTATTTATTTATTTATTTATTTTTCATAAAGAGACTTATATTACAAATTAAGTAACATAAGAGTTGTAGGTATTATAAGCTGAGACTGTTCGAACGTTTAAATTTTTAGAACAGTCCTTATTGAAAGTTGATAAACAAAGGGATGGGAAGATAAATAGTATAAGAAATGCCATGGTTGTCGTCCATGTGAGGGAGTGAGGTTCATGCCATGCTTAGCGAAGGCATCTGCTACATCATTAGCTTTTCGGTAGGCATGTCTAAGCTCCACGCGACCCAGTTCAAACATAAGTGACCTGCAGTCAGAAATAATAGGTAAGTAAAGTTTATTGCCACGTTCGACCATGGTGAATAGTACCTACGAATCATTTTTTATTTGAAGTGGCCAGAGGCTAAAATCCTTAGCTAACTGTAATCCTAGCCGAAGTGTTACTAGTTCAGCTTCAGTAGCAGAGAAGCAGATTAAGTTGGTTGTGAATCTACGGATCCAGTGATTGTTGGAGTTGCGAAAAATCCATGCTGCTCTTGCTCTGCGAGTCGCTTGATTGAAGGCTTCGTTGATATTAAGCTTACCAAAGTTTTTAGGCAGAGGGTACCATTTAATATAAAAACTGCACGGGTTAGCTTTACGATAACGAACTGGTGAAAGAAAGTAAAATTTTATAAGATAATACATGATAGTAGTTACAGACAACTCCTTATGGGGATTATGAAAATGATTATGATTATGTATAATCCAAATATGCCAAAGGATGACGGGAACCATTAATATGGCTGGGACCTCAATACCTTGGTAGAGAAAGGGTCCTTGATTGCGCAGACAGTGCGAGCGAAGCCATTCATTAAAGTTGGGAGCAACAATGTTGATATGGAAGAAGGTCCATGTTAGTCTGATACTGTTACAGTTCAAAAATAAGTATGGTATGGTTTCAGGAGTATAAGGACATGATTTGTATTTAGGGTCATGGAGAATATGCAAGTTGTGAAAGTAGGCTATCATACGAAGTCGATTTTGAAGTTTAGCCAAAGGAACAATTTAAGTTTATTGGGAATATGAAGTTTCTAAATCCATGAGATTGGGGAAGCAACAATGGTAGGTATGTGGTGTTTTTGAAGATATAGATCATATGCTGATTTTGTACTGAATGTGCCGATTTGATTTGAAAACTAGCAGAATTGGTAGGGCGAGGTGAGCGAGTATTGAAGTTGGTACTTTGGATGAGGGTAGATATAGTGGGTGGGAGGATGACAAATAGCTTCTGAAGATGTAATTGGCCATTATAGAAAAGTTCAGAAAGTATTAAGGTAGACTCGAGATTTGCTAGGGGACCTTGAATAAGGTTCTTAAGTACGAAATTGGTAGGAAGCCAAATGTCATGCCAAAAGTTAATATCATTACCAGTTCCAAAATTTCCATTTAAGGCCCTTGATGACGAATGTGTAATCCTTGAGAAGACTTTTTCAAATGAAGGAGACGTTGCTCGTAGGTGAAATAACATATGTAGAATTTCGAGGGAGGCGGTATTTGGAAGATAAAATTCTAACCCAAACGGCTTGGGGGTTGTGGCGGAAGCGCCACACCAAACCTGTAACTAGCACCAAATTCTTGCCTTTAGTTTTCTGAATTCCTAGCCCTTCGTTGAGACGTGGTAAGGTCACTTTATCCGAACTAACTAATTAAATTTTTGTTTTGTTTGAAGTGTTGAGAAGTATGTACATTATAGAGATTAGTTAGATGGTTAGAAGTTAGTGAGTGGGTTAGTGTACAGCTGTCAACATCTATTATATTATTATTAAGGAGTTAGTGGTTAGTGACACATGTACATATATACACATGTACAGTACATGTAAAAATAGATTCGATATTTTCTAAAGCAACTCTCTTACTTTCTTCTTTCTCCTCTATTCTATCTCTGGTTCTCCAATGAATGTGCCTCTTTAACATGGTATCAGAGCTCGGCTCAACTCCGGCGAGTTCAACAATGGTGGACGAGTAAGGAGAAGGTACAATTGAGTTGGTCGAATCCAAAATTCATTTCATTTGCTTCAAATTGAAGCTGAAGATACAACTTCTTCTTCAAGCTAGGGTTTACTGATTTTGAGCAAATTCAACAAATTTTTTGAATTTTTGCAACAATTTGAGTGAATAATTCTCTTCAATTTACAAATCTACGAAATTACTATGGCAATTACTGAAAATGAATCTACTTCTACCACGGTTATATCGTCTACATCGGGTATTTAGAACCTTGACTTAGTTCATCACAATCATCCTTTGTATGTTTATCCTTCTGATACTCAAGGTGCTGTTCTCATCTCGATTCAACTTCGAGGATCTGAAAACTATTCTCTTTGGAGTAGATCTATGAAAATTGTGTTGCATGACAAAAATAAGTTAGGTTTTGTGCTAGGAACCTGTAGGAAAGAGCTTTAAGGTGCGAGTCTTCGTGAACTCTGGGATCGATGTAATACTATTATTTTGGCATGGATAATGAATACTGTAGCTCCAGATTTACTGAGTATTGTGATCTATGCCTCTAATGCACACAAGGTCTGGGAAGATCTTCGTAAGAGATTTGATAAAGTGAATGCTTCTAGATCATTTTATCTTCACAAGGAGATTGCAAAGCTAACTCAATTTGATAACTGTATCTGAATATTTCTCAAAACTTAGAGAGTTATGGGATGAATATGAAGCCTTAGCTCCTCTTCCTTCATGTGGATGCCATGAATCCAAGCAGCATGCAGAACACTACCAACTACAGAAATTGTATCAGTTTTTGACTGGTCTAAATGACTCTTTTGATAATGCTAAAGATCAAATTCTTATGATTCGACCACTTCCAAATGTCAACCAGACCTATGTTATGTTAGTTAATGTTGAGAGTCAAAGGAGAAACAATGCAGCTTTAAATATTGGCATTGGTGATTCTGCAGCAATGATGAGTAAGGCTAACTCTGGGAATGGAAATAGTAGTTTCAAACCTAGAAATAATCTTGGGAGATCTACACTACAATGCGACTACTGTCACTTGAAAGGTCATACCAAGGATACTTGCTATAAGCTCCATGGATACCCTGCTAATTTCAAGGTCAAGAGAAGAGGTTATTCAGGTCCCCAGGTGAACAATGCATTCACTGCTCGAGGATTCCAAACTCCTGATCTTCCTCAACCTACTCAACAACCTACTCCTCAATTTTCCTCACCTGCTCCAGTGTTTACTCAAGAACAATATGATCAGATTCTGCATATGTTGAGCAAAGGAAAACAGGTAGAATCTGTGACAAATGCAGCAACTATGAACAACACAGGTACTATAAAAGCCCTCATGTCTCATCTAGTTAATGGTAACTGGATAGTAGACACAGGGGCCTCCAATAATATGGTACATAATTCCAAGCTACTAAGTGAAATCAAGGATCTGACTAGTATAGACCATAACAAGGTTCATATTCCTAATGGTGAGCAGATTGCTATCAAGTCATACTGGAGTTTCCACAATTTTTAAAACTAAATTATTACAGAATGTCTTATACATTCCAGACTTCAAATACAACTTGTTTTCAGTCTTAAAGCTTACAAAGGAGTTGAGATGTTTTATTATATTTTTTCCTGATTTTTGTCTTTTTCAGAATCTCTTGAGTGGGAAGGTAATGGGGATTGGTAAGGAAGAGTGTGGGCTTTACATCATGAAGCCAGATATCCCTGAAGGCTCAGTGAAGCTGCAAGATACAAACAAAGTACCAGTCTAGCATCTTCTGTAAATACTGTCTCTAGTTCTAGTCACAATAAGGTAGTCCATACTAAATCTACTGAGAATTGTATTGTGTATTTGTGGCACAACTGTCTATCTTTTGAATAGATTGCCTACTGTCTTGTTGAAGAGAGATTTTCCTTTTGAGAAACTCTATAACAAGGTTCCCTCTCTCCAGTACTTGAGGGTCTTTGGTAGTCTGTGCTATGCCACCTCCGTCAGAAAAGCAGATAAATTTAGCCCTGGGGCCATTCCTGATGTCCATCTTGGCTACTCTTCTGTGCAAAAGAGATACATTTTATATGATCTTCACTCAAAACTGTTCTTTGTCAGCAGGGACACTGTCTTCAAGGAGGATGTTTTTCCCTTTAAGCATGTCATATATGGTTCCTCTCCTTTATTCCCCATTTTGGATCTTTCAGAAGCTGATTGTTGTTCTCTCCATTGCATTCCTACTCCTAGAACTACTGCAACTGAGTCATCTTCTTCTGTTTCTAGTCAATAAGTTGATCCTAGTCAGCTGGTTTCTGATCCTCATCTACAGTCCAACCCTTCCCCTGCTGCTTCTCCACTTCCTATTAGGAAATCCTCTAGAACTTCTGTTCCTCCTATATGGTTAAAAGATTATGTTGTACCCTCCAAAGGAGCAACCTGCAATTACTCCATTTTCCAGTATGTGTGTTATGACAAGTTGTCTACTGCCTATCAGGCTTGTCTTGCTGCATACTTAGTTGTGTCTGAGCCTACCTCCTATGCTGAGGCAAGTACTTATCCAAAGTGGATAGAAGCCATGCAGGCTAAGATTGTTGCCCTTGAGGAGAACCAGACCTGGTCCATTGTGGACCTGCCTCCTACCAAGGCTCCTATTGGTTGTAAGTGCATCTTCAAGGTTAAATACAAGTCAATTGGGGAGGTGGAGAGGTATAAGGCTCGATTAGTTACTAAGAGGTATAGTCAGCTTGAAGGTCTGGATTACAAAGATACTTTCTCTCCTGTGGCCAAAATGGTAACAGTGAGATCTATAGTGGCTTTGGCTGCAACATCTGGCTGATTTATTTTTCAAATGGATGTGCACAATGCATTTCTTCAAGGAGAACTTCTTGAAGAGGTTTATATGCAGATCCCAGATGGATTTGCCAGCGAGGGGGAGTGTTATCAGAAAGCATGTAGATTGCATAAGTCCTTGTATAGACGCAAGAAGGCTCCTAGATAGTGGAACCTGAAGCTGACTTCTGCTCTAAAGGATATGGGATTTGTACAGTCTCATTATGATTACTCTCTTTTCACACAAAGGGTAGGTGGTGATCTGATAGTAATCCTGGTATATGTTGATGACCTTCTTGTTACTGGGAACAATGTGGAGCTTATTCATCAAGTAAGGACAGATTTGCAAGCTAAGTTCAAAATGAAGGACTTGGGAGAATTAAAATTCTTTCTGGGAATTGAGTTCTCCAGATCTAAAGAAGGAATCCTTATGAATCCAAGGAAATATGCTCTTGATTTAGTGGCTGAGCTGGGATTAGCTGGTGGAAAGCCTGTTGCTACACCTCTTGAGTTCAATCATAAACTCACCTTAGTAGCATTTGATAAATTCATGAACAAGGGAGAAGCCTCTACAGATGCACAACTTGAGGACCCAGGTAGCTATCAAAGATTGGTAGGCAAATTGCTATACTTGACAATGACAAGGCCAGACATTGCCTTTGTTGTTCAAGTACTGAACCAACACATGCATGCTCTCAAGCAGTCACATATGGAAGCAAATGCACGAGTGGTCAAGTATGTCAAGGGAACTGCAGGATTAGGACTGTTTATGCCAGCAAAAGGTAACAAGGAACTAGTTGCCTACTGTGATTCAGATTGGGGTTCATGTGTGGAGACAAAGAAGTCTATCACTGGTTATATAGTTAAGTTTGGTGAAGCTTTAATCTCTTGGAAATCCAAAAAGCAAAGCACAGTTTCTAGGAGCTCTGCTGAATCAGAATTCAGAAGCATGGCAGCTATTGTTGCTGAAGTCACTTGGCTAGTTGGTTTGTTTGTAGAGCTAGGAATTACAGTGAACACTCCTGTGCAGTTGTTATGTGATAGCAAAGCTGATATTTCATGAGAGGACAAAACACTTTGACATTGATTGTCATTTTGTAAGGGAGAAAGTTCAGGGTGGTCAAATTTAGACTCAACATATTGGGACTAAGGAACATCCTGCTGATCTGCTTACCAAGAGTCTATGCAAGCCACAACATGAGTATTTGATTAGCAAGCTGGGAATGAAGAATCTCTTCCATCCCCCAGCTTGAGAGGGGAGGGGGGGGAGGGGTTGAGAAGTATGTACATTATAAAGATTAGTTAGATGGTTAGAAGTTAGTGAGTGAGTTAGTGTACAACTGTCAACAACTATTATATTATTGTTAAGGAAATAGTGGTTAGTGACGCATGTACATATATACACATGTACAGTACATGTAAAAATAGATTCGATATTTTCTAAAACAGCTCTCTTACTTTCTTCTTTCTCCTATGTTCTATCTCTACTTCTTCAATGGCTATGCCTCTTTAACACGGAGTAGATCCCCAAAGAAAATTCCTTTGAATTTTATCAATTTTTTTAAATAATTTTGGCGGGCAAAATAATAATTTGCATGGCATATGTAGGAATCGTCGAAAGGATAGATTTCATTAAACTTGTTCGTGTGACAAGATTGAGAAAATTTGTTTTTCATCCTTGAGTATATTATTCATTGGGTCTAGGATAGTAGGATGCATTGCTAGTCTCGGCTTTGAGGCTGCAAGTTAGTTTTCCAGAAGGCTTAAATATTGACCTACTGTTGTGGAGGTGCACATATTGAGAATAGCGGAGACACCCATACGAGTCGATTTGTTATTTTGAACATAAATAGACGTTCTTCAAGTTTATAACATGTGGCACTTTTGATCTACTCAATAACAAACTCAAAACGGATTTTTTTAAAATGGTCGGACGTGATCATATGTTAAATAAAAGCAACCGATCAGAACTCCATTCCCCAAATCAATTTTAAATAAATTCTTCTTCACCTAAAGAACTCCCTGTGATAATATGAAGTCACATGTATAATATTGAGTAATTATATAGGATGTAAAATCTGTTAAGGTCTCGATATTCAGAGATATAAAAATTGCCCATCTTAGATAATAATGGTATACAAAAAATTAAAATTTATGACTTTTGGACTGCTATGTGTTCAAGGAAATTTTCGCTTTTTTAGGTGGAGTTAAAAAATGGTTGCTCAACTAACAGTCTTTTGTTTCCATCCTTCATTATCGCGCAGTCAATTGGCCTTCACCCTTTGGCTACTTTACCTTTGTCTAACCAACAACAACAACAACAAAGACTTAGGACCGTCTTTGATTGTCTTCTGCAAATTGAGACCTTGGCAACTCGGTGCACTAAGTTTTCGCTATGTGCGAGGTTTGATCGGACCATAAGGATCTATTGTACGCAGTCTTACCCTGTATTTCTGCAAGAGGTTGATTCATGGCTCGAACCCATGACCTCCTGATCACTTGGCAGTAACTTTACCAGTTACGCCAAGACTCCCCTTCAATATACCAAATTGAGACTAATATACCAAATTATAATGTTATTCTTTCGGACAGATCTTAATTCACCATTGAAAGAATTAAAATTTAAATTGAAAAGAGATTGGTTTTTGAACTTAAGATTCAATCTCTGCGTTGTTAAGCGAGTAATCATTTACATATACCAATACATAATTACATTTACATACTTTGCGTGAGTCGTAATTCTTTAAAATATAGAAAGAAATGACAAGAATGATAGCATTATATATGCAGGTGTCTTTACTAGATGTGTTTCTCATGCTCCAAACCAAGAGAATATTCATTCCTCTATGCACATATAAATAAAATTGGGTGAATAAGGCAGGTTCATAGATTTCTCTGTGCAAAACACTTGTAGTAGTATAAAAGGATGAAGTTTAAGGCCGAAAAAGAGAAAAAAACAACAAAAGAAGAAGAATTGTTTGAAGAAGCCAATTAATTAATCAAACAAGCCGTCTTGGATCAGTAACATTAATCCTCCAATGTTCATTTTTGAACCCCAATTTTTCAGCCTTGTTCCTCATCCATTCCAAGCGTATTATGTCCAATCTTGACAACCCACAATATTTCTGTAAGTTCTCATCCATGGTATCATGAAATTTCCACCATCTCCAATGTGCGTTATCGTTCGCGTACTCATGATATTCAAGAACGTTCCAATTACAATCATAGTCCCGGTAACACATCCATGGCTTTAATCCTAGATAATGTATAGTATAAAGAATTGGAGGATCTGCTCCATACCAATGGTCCTTAAGACTAATCCCATTTTTTTTTGTCCAAAAATCTTTCAAGAAATTTATCCTTCTTGGTAACCTATGCCACCATACAAACACTTCATTAAGGAAGCCTTGATCACCTCCATTATATGAGATAACATCTTTAGTACGTTGCATGAACATGTCGAACGTGCAATTTGATGGCTCGATCACCATTAGCCCGGAATTGAAAATGGACCTGCTGTTACCTGCAGTAGCAAATTCAAGATTTAGAGTCAATAAGTTCTACATCAACTATGTCTAGTCTAAATCTGGCAGTAGCTACCTGTAGCAGACAACTGGGGCAAATAGAAAAGAAAATCGATGTTACGAAGGACAATTATATCAGAGTCGACAAAAATGATCTTGTCATAGTCTGTGAGTTGCCATAGCCTGAACTTGCTATAGTTGTATTCATTATATGTCTTGTTCTTAGCTCTAGGGTTTCGGATTCTGTCGATGAATCGGAGTTTCCAACCTGCTTTGATGAGGGCCTCACGTTTAGGCTCGGAGATACTGATGTCCAGAAGGAGAAGAAGATCATGTTTGGTTCCTGTTTTGAGAAGACTTTGAGCTAGAGCAAGTGCACCACAAACATAATCTTCAGAGGAATGAACAACTGTGGCGTAGGCGACTTCTCGTTTTGGTGTCTTTCTGATGCTTTTAATGTTGGAAACATCATAGACCTCGCTCATTTCTGAAATCAAATTAATTATGTCAATATAGATGATGACTAGCAACAAGAATTTCATCTAGGTACATGGCAAAAATTAAAATATATACATAATCGGACCACTAATAAGGTAATTAACGGTGAATCCCCTACCTCGGCTACTTACTTACCTTACAATTTTTATAAAAAGATTCCTAAAATATTTGAGACGGTTGCATTGCTTTATAAATTATTTAACCTATGTGAATATTTCAGCCATCCTATAAATGTGCTTACACTAAGGATTTTATCTGGCGCCTGTAGCTCAGTGGATAGAGCGTCTGTTTCCTAAGCAGAAGGTCGTAGGTTCGACCCCTATCTGGCGCGATAAGCTTCTCTTTTTGCCGTACTGGTTTTTCTTCTTAATTGGAAAGCCTATGTCGTCCTGTTTCTTGCTCTAACATTAACCCAATTCTTAAAGAGGAAAATGGAAAAATTAGAGTACAAAAGGAAAAAACAAAGTGGTTTCTAAAGCAAAATTAGCACCAACAAATGTTACCTTTTCCCCAGAAAGGCAAAGCTAAATTGCAAGAACCAATTGGCAAAGAAACCTTTTGTTCCAACCTAACAACATCCAGTTGATAATACCACCAATCCCCTTCTTGTTTTATCAAATCATCACATCTAAACAACTCCACCATAGGCCTACATTTGCTCAAAAACACCACTTTTGTCTTCCCATTCAAACCCTTTTTTCCTCTCTTCACTACCAAATTTGCCACCACAAGGTGCACTTGCACCCTAAACACATCTCTTCCCCACCCTTCTTCTGGATACTTGCATGGCAATTTTGCTACAATCATGTCCATGTTACTGTAGTTATCGAAAATTGGCATTGGTATTTTAGGACATTTAGGTACAACTACCTCTTCTTCTTCATCTATCCAAGGTGGAAACAAATCTTTCCATTCAAACAAGTCTGAAACCTTCTCGAATTCTACTGGTATTATAATATGTCCGTGCTTGCTCCAATCGCTAGTATTCTCGTCCTCCATATTCACCATCCCAATTTTCGAATTCGAACCTTTTTCCATTGTGTCCAAGAAACTAGGCAATTCATGCTTTATCATTTTTCTTGTATCGTTCACCACCGGGTTTTTCAGCTCTGCTTTCATCTTTATCTCACCTCCCGCCTTTTCAAAAACAAGAAAATGTTATTTAAGTAATTATACGCATGCAACGTGATATATTCTACTGATATACGTGATATACATACATACATACATACATACATATATATATANGAGATGTATAATTAGCGTAAAATATTTTTCAGGCATGGTTAGAACGTAATCCAACTAAATGGACAAATCTTGACCTCTATCCCTTTGTTCAGGGGCGGCCCAACCTCATCGGAGGCCTAAAACAAAATCTTAATAAGAGGCCTTAATATATATATAT